GACTGAGGCCCGGTACAGTTTTGTTCATCCAGAAACAAACTCCAGGAAGAAAGAGACTCTGAAATGTGATTTTTTTGGTAAATTACAGTGAGTGCAAGTTCCCAGATAAACAAGAGTGGACATTGGTATGCTTGGGACAGCTGATATTCCTACCCCTGCTGCCAGCATCCGGGTTAACTGTGTCAGCTCAGAGAAGGAGGGCACTGTCCCGCAGCAGTCCCAGCCCAGCTAGCTCAGCGCTCTGCCTGTCCAGCCCAGGCACACAGCCTCAACCCCTCCCTTACGCCAGCATGGTGGCTTGGTTTACCCTGTGCTGAACATTTACTGGGGAAAAAGTAAATCCGTGGTTTTCTGCTGCTTTATCTGCTGCACTGAGGATTTGGACACCCATCCCTCATGTGCAAGCACATGGAAAAAGGAAGGTCAACCCCATCCTTAAGCGGCCAAGGAGCTGCAGGGCATTTGCGGACCGCAGATGCATTCAGAGTGCATCTTGCAGTCCAGAGGCCTGACCAGGCAGAGGCAAACCCAGTAGAGAGGAGGGGCAGGGGGCCTTGGATCGGGGCAAGCCGCAGCAACTTCTGCCCAGCTACAGTGACTCCAGCTGGCAGCTGAAGCAGGGGAAAAGGTGCGCAATGGATGCTCCCCCTAGCCTGCTGCACCTCTGTGGTCCGGCGCACAGCCTGGCTTGGTGGTAAGCTCTGGTCTTCTCCAGATTGATGCCACCTTGGCCCTGTCCGCTCTGCTGCAAGCAGGAGGGCTGGTATGTGTATTCACTGTGTCTTGCCCTCTCGCAGCTGACAGCGTCACTGGGATATTTTTGAACCATGAAAGAAATAATGGGCATTACTCACTGCCTGCCACAAGGAAGTATTTAACCATCAGTAATAAAGAGAGGAGGGAGGCAGCTGAAGGTGTGATCTGGATCCTGAAAGTGTGGCGAAACTGATGGGAAGTGGTGACGGCTGATCCCTGCCCTACTTACGCAGGGAGACCTCAGATGTGAGGTTTTGGCTTCCCTGTATATCCAAAGGAAAACCTCTGGTCACCTGCATCTCTGCTTTTTTTGCATGCAAAGAGAACAAATTGGTCCTTCTCCCTTCCACTTGTGGGGAGACCTCACGGTGAGTGGAGAGGCAGGATGGAGACTATCATCGACTCTGTAAAAACCATCTGGAGGCAGGGAGGGAGCTAAGGATGAAAATGAGTGTGGTACTTGTTCTCCTTTTTTTGACTTGCCCCCTTGTACACCAGGAGGATAGACTGCGGCCTCTGGGCTTGGGCTGCACAAGGTACTGTGTACCCCTGCTCCCGGGGTATGGCGGTGTTTGTGGGTTCCTGGCATTTGCTGGTATGTAAAAGCCCTGGGAAGAGCAGCAGAACAGGAGTTAAAATATTGGTGCTAGTGCAGCAAGCCAGGAGGCCGAGAACAGCCCTGAAATCCAGGAAAGGCAACAGATAACAGCAAGGAACCGGCAGGTGCTGGGTGGAGTGGTGACGACACCAAGGCCACACCACAGATAAGGCCACCAGGCAGATGTGGAGCAAGAGCAATGTGATGCAATCTGGCTTGGCCTCTTGCCATCTGTGCCCAGCCAGATGGAAAGCCTGCAAACAGCACCGTGGCCACCTGGGAGGCAAAGGCATGATAAGGGCTCACGATGTGAGGAGTGATCCCGGGCGGGCGGTGTGGACATGGGCGGGTGGGTGCCGGTGAGCGTGTGGGAACAAACACAAAGGCAGGGGCAATGCCGTGAGGGAACAAGCGTGAAATTGGTTTTGGAAGTAGAGATCTCCTTTCTTGTCACTGCTGTGTCCAGCAGAGTTTCTCTGCCTTGCTGGCAGCGAGACGAAGTCTCTGGCCCTGCAGGCAAGCCCAGGACCTTCATACCTGCCCCTTCTGCCCTTCTTGGAGGGCTGCGGCTGGCAGGGGTGCAGGGAGGAGGCAGCAGAGCCAGGGCCCTCACTCCTGCCCCAGGAGAAGCCGGAGGCGAGTCCAAGGGCAGCCCCAGATGCAGGAGATGGGGAGCAGCTCTCCCATGTGCTGCTGTACCGCTGGGAGCCCGGGACCCACCGAGGACAGCAGAAGGGTGCCTCGCTTTGTGATACGGACACGGAGGAGGAAAGCCCAGGCTCAAATGCGTGACTTTCTCAAATGTAGCTGGAGCTGTGTGGCCAATGTGAGGGCAAGCAGCCACCAGAAAACCTCCTGTCCTACCCGAGGAAGAATTTCCCCACCTCTTCTTCGAGGGCGACAGTAGGCAGGACTTTCGTCAGGGGCTGCAAGCCTGTGCTTGAGAAAAGCAGGAAGAGACAAAACCAGTTTGCCAGCAGTGATTTCCCCTTTGTTATCTCTTAGTGTGTCATTTTAATTTGCTCTGTGAAGGTAGCAGTGTTTGAATACCACTGAGGAACCACGTGGAGGAAGATCAAACCTCGTATCAGCCAACAGCTTTTCCCCAGCACCGCACGACCTGCTGCCTCCGGCACAGAGGTGATGCAGATGTTTCCCGACACCTTCCATCCAAGGAGAGTGACCTGGAGCATACAACATGTCCCAGCTGCATGGCCCCAGCCCATCACTCCTGCACTGCCGCTGGCATGACCCGAAGAGCCAGGCCATGCTTGGGACCAGCGGCACAGCATGGTTATCCACAGCGGTGGCACCAGAGGCATTATGATCAGGTAGCTTTTTTGGTAGTAAAAATGTTGAAGAAGATCGTAAAGGCTCATGATAGCCCTCATTCAGGGCTGCACTAAGTGTTGGTGTGGATGCAGCTTGCAGGAGGTGGCCCCACGTTGTCCACACAGTTGAGTGTTGGCGGGGACCAGATTTGCAAGTCAGGTGCCTAAGGAAATACATCGCCACGTGCGGGAGAGTGAGAGCTGCTGTGTCCCCAGGACCCAGCGTGCTGGTGGCAGGGCCCTCCAGGGCTTGCCCACAAAACCTTGTACACAGCAGGGCTTGGTAAGGGCATCCGCGGCTTTGTACATGGCCCACCAAGGATGGACATCTTCCACAACGCTGCTGGTCTGCGTTGCCCACCCTCTGGGGTAAGGTTTCTTTCCTAACTACCAACCTGAACATCTCAGGACTGTGGTTTGTGCCTGTTGCTTTTTATTCTGTCACCTGGCACTACCAAGAAGAGGTTGGCTCCATCAACTGCGCTTCCAGGAGTTGCAGGCTGCTATCAGATCCCGGCTTGGTCTCCCCTGTACTAGTCTGAACAAGACCAACAGGCCCCCATGTACCTCAGGAACAACTGCTAATGCAGTTAAATATTTACTTTAGTTGAGGGATTTCCAAAGTGGAATAATAATAAAAGCCAAAGGTTACTGAACTGTGTAAACTCCATGAAGAGGGAATATAAAACATGTGCATAGCTGTGTCGGCAGACCAGAGGAATGGTTCTGCAAGGGGAACCCTGAATCGGTCACATTCCCCCTTCCCAAAACCCGGTCACAGCCCTGCTGAGTTGGGTGGAAGGACCTCCCAAAGGCACGGATGGAAGCAGCCTCTGGCCACGGGGGATGCTACCAAGCTGTTCCCTCTTGTCTCAGCCAGCTGGGGCCAGTGTGTACCTTCCTAAACCTCAGGGGAAGAGGTTTAGGGGAAGAAATGTCCTGAGCACGGTCATGGTCAGCTCCGCAGCAAGTAAGCGCAAATGTGCATGCTGTGGGTGTCTGGAGCTCTCCCAGCCTGCTGGTGGTTTCTGTAGGACACCTACCCCCCGGCTGTCCCTTGCACACACAGCACCTCCCACCCGATCCCAGGGTGAAGGAGGCTGTCTGTCACTTCTGGCCCAGATTGCATCTCAGCAAGTCTGTCCCAAAGGAGTTTTTGGTCAACACTGGTCTTCAGCTACAACACCAACTTTCCACCCAGTGGTCCTCTTTTTCATCCTTCACTCTTCACCAATTGATTTTGATTCACCAGAGGAAGGTGGAGATGGATGTGGAAAATCCAGTTTCTCAGAAAGAGGTGGTGAGGATGCTCACACAGAAAGACTGATGTCAAGCGTCCAGTCTTGTAGGCGAAGTAGCTTCCGTCTTCTGGGGTGGTGATGCTTGCTGAGAAGTCCTTCACTGAAGAGTTGGCATCTCTTACCACTGACGATCCTCTCCAGCCTTTCTGTCCCCTCCCTGCTGTATGTGCCACCTCTGCCTATTTAAACTGGGTATCCATGCACACAGCCCTCTTCCCTCACGCTGAATCTCATTATAAAGATAATTTTGCTCTGTCAATCTCAGCTCCAACCATTTATGTGACCAAGAGCAAGGTGAGCAGAGCAAGGTATTAAACTGTCCATGATGATGGGTAGAGGAGCACAGGCAGTGGCTGCACCTGCAGCTCCCTGCTCCCACTCAGCTGAATTTCGTTCCCTCCAGCCCCTCTGCACCCCCAGCCTTTCCCATCCCATGCAGCAACAGGGTGGGCTGGCTGCAGCATGACAGCAGGCCTCCCCTGTGTTTAAGATCCCTCTCCTGGGGTCCTGCCCAGTGTGTCAGGCAGCTGAGTATCCTCCTGGCCAGGTCTCATGGGGTAATGCTCAGGCCACAGCGCAGCCACCCAAATCAGCCTGAATTTCCTGGCTTTTCCACGTGAAGTCTCCCAGCCCGAACGGGGATACCTGCCATATATGAAGAATGGCAGCTGGAAAGCTGGAGGGCTGGTTCAGGTGAGATACACCCAGAAGCAAACCGGCTGGGTGGAGTGGAGAAGAGCAACATTGCCCAACCCAGACTACAGTGCGAAGGGATTGTAAAGCAACCTCCAGTGCTGGCACCTGGGGCTGGCAAGTGGCACTGGGGTGGCTTATCAGTTGCATGAGAGCACCCAAGTGATCCCTCTAGGTGCACGCTCCAGCTGTTCCCAGCGCAGATCAAATGCTGCTCAGAATGCTGCTTTTCCCAGCGCTGCTGAGATAAGCCAGTGCCCTCCCCTATAAAGGCAGCCATGAGCGGAGCGAAGTGCACGAGCGCATGCGCCTGAACCAACCATGCCTTTGAGGGAGCTGCTGCTGGTGGTGGCGGTGGCACTGGTGACTCTCATCGCTGCCAGTGGTAAGCCCACTCTGCTGCCGGCAGCTGGCTCTTCGGTGGCGGGTTGGGAACCACGGGGGGACCAAAAAATGGGTGGGAGGGCAGAAAGACCCAGAAACTGTGGTTTAGAGAGGAGGTGAGGAGGGTAAGCAAACACAGCGGCAGCGCGGTGGGGAAGAAGGACTGGAGCAAACACACCGTGCCTTGTTAGCAGTTTGAGGCAAGGGTTACAGGCTGGTTCATCAGCCATATAGCACTTGGGAGAGGGATGGGATAGGGGATAGCCTGTGATATGAACAGGAACAGGAATGTGCGAGGACAGCATGTACACTGGGGTCGCAGCTACTGTTGTTCCTGCCTCCATGAAGACCTGGAAGCCTTTGCAAGAGCACTACGTGTTCAGCATATTCAGGTGGAAAGCAGCTGTTTGTAGCCTCTGGAAAACTGGTGCTACCTAGGTGCATGTAGTGGTGGTCCTGTAGCAGCCTGTGTGTGAGCCCGCATGCTCCCGGGACATTCACGCACCACACAGACGGGTTGTGAACTGTTGCTACTGCTGCTCTGCCTGACTGCAGAAAAGGAACCCACCGAATGCAGCTCTCTCTGGGGATGGCTGTTGTCCGGCTGTGCAGCGTCACCCAGCCTCAGCCCTCTGAAGATACCCCATGTCCCCATGCAGCACTGCATGGGTTCACATTTCCTGGGATGTGTTGGATGTTCTGTGGAGCTCCTGGTCCAGAGACTGGGAGAGAGGACTGTCGGAAGAGAGATTAGGCAGTGGGAACAGGTGTTCCCAGCTTTGTCCCAGCCGGATTGGCTGCGGATGGAGGCTGTGCGTTGTGCTGCTTGGGAGGGTGAGGGAGTGGCGTGCAGAAAACTGATGCCCCCTCATGAAACCCACACAACTGCTCCGGGTCCTGAGTGAGCCCTGCACAACTCTGCCTTCCCTTTGGTTTGGATGCGACCCTCTGTCAATGCCTCGTGCTCCTGCCACCAGTCACAGGTGTGCCACGCTCACAGGTCTCTGCTCTATTTCAGGGGCAGAGCTGAACGAAGGGAATGGCCTGAGAAGGGTAAGAGGTTTCTGGTTTTCCTCGTTCCTGGCTTGAGATGGGATTTAGTGCCTGGGGTGCCTGGGAGAAAGGCCACTCCCAGCAATCAACCCCAGCCTCATGGGTACAGGTGCTCCAGCAACAAACCTGCATGAAAGCCCAGGTTGTGAGTCCCACTGAGGAATGCGGTGGCCTCTGCTCCCTGCTTTCCCGCTCTGTGTGCATGCCCTGCCCTGTCCTTGGCAGAGGGAACCAGGCCTCCAGCGGCACTTGCTCCTGCCCGGGTGCTGTGGGAGGAAGAGAGGGTGCTGCTGGCTCTGAAATGTGTGCTGCGGTTTCTCCTTTCCAGCCGGTGTGTGGAGACATGGTTGAGCTGCAGGCCTGCCCCCTCCTGCTCTTGCCTGTCTGTGGGAGCGATGGGAACACCTACGCCAATGAATGCCAGCTCTGTGTGCAGAAAATGTAAGGTCATGCCCTTGGCAGAGACCTCCAGGGGTCTAATTTTGGCCATCTGAAACTGGGTGCTTGTGAAACACCACCATTCAGGCTCCCCCGTGCCTGGGGAAAGCTATGGCAGACAGGAGGTACATGTTCCTGCTAGCAAAGTGGAAGAGGACTTTTTCATGTCACCTGAGCCAGGCGCTTGGCTGTGAAGCCTGTGAGCTTTGCCCTCCTGCGCTGGCAGTGCCTGCGGATAGGTGCAGGCATGCCCCCGGCCCTTGCCTGCAGGTTCCTGCCCCATCCTTGGCACCGCGTTTAGTGACTACTGTGCAGCTGCAGCCTGAGAGATTTAGCTCATTGTGTTGGCAGGGGACTAATCCCACAGAAGAGCTGAATATTCATCCATTGGATCAGCTTGCTAAATCATCAGCCCTGTGGCTGCATGATCAGCAGATCCAAAAGGTGAGGTCACGAGTCCATGGCCAGGAGACCCTCCAACACAAGTGCCTGCAAACTGCCAACAAACCAGATGCTTTGTAGAGGATGGGAGAAGGTCCCACTGTCTGTGCTGCCTGCAATTAGAGAAGGGAGAGTTGAACTTAGACAGGCAAAAAGGCCGACTAGGTATTGAGTCTGGACAGTCACATAGCACCACTAAGTCCTTCAAAGGGACCTCTGCGAATGCAGATGCACAGTTATGTGCCTCGTGGCTCTTTTGGCAGAACTTCAAACCAAAGGTACCACCATAAAGTTGAGGACTAGGGCAGCATGGACCTCATGAGAAGCACAAGGGCTGCTTTGGGGCAGTGATTTTATCCAGGTTGGGAAGTGACTGAGCAGGGGTTCCTGATAGAAAGGGACTGAGGGTGAAGATCAGGTTGAACACAGGTCAGCATTACACTTGCATGGCAAGTAACACAAACTGTGTGCTGGGCTGCAGGAGGAGAGGGATGACCAGCTTGTCAAGGGAAAATGGGTTGCAAATGGGATGGAGCCATACTCTTCTTGGTGGTAGCAGGTGATGCAACATAGGGCAACAGCCACAAGCAGCAGCCCCAGAAGGTGCAGGCTGGACATGGAGGAAACCCCTTTCCCCAGTAGGGTGGTACACCAGGGAGGTGTGTGGGGGTCTCCATCCTTGGGGCAGGGGTGGTTAGGGCTTAGACAGAGCCATGGCCACTATAACCTCACACTGGGGACAGCCCTGCTGTGAGCAGGTTGGGCTGGAGACCCCCCACCAGTGCTGCACACTCGGGAGGGGACATCTGTGGGCCAGGATGGCTTGCTGTCATCTCAGCTTTTTAGACAGGAAAATGAGCAAGCCAATTTTATAACAGTCAGCTCCGTTCCATGGGCTGGATGGGAGCCAAGGTATGACTCGAAGAGTATTTTTTTTTTGAGCTCTTACTCTTTTTTCCTATGTTATTCTAGGAAAACCAGGCAAGACATCCGGATTTTGAAAGACGGGGAGTGTCAAAATAGCTGAGCTTTCTGGTAGCTTTCCTGAGCCTAGAAACAGGTGATTAATTGATCCTGTGTGCTCTGTGCTGATTGCACAGTTAAGTAAGTTAGTGATGGCGAATAATAAAATGACATGCACAATCTTATTTCAACAGCACTTTTTTATGCAAGTCTGGGGGAAAACAGCACAAGCCATTTCCCACAAAGGGCTACTAAAAGCGCACAGTCCAAACATTCATTTCAAAACATTCATTTCAAATCCACATCACAAACCAGGGCTCTGCACTGTAAGTATTATTTCACCCACATTCCTGTGAGAAAGGCCATGTGGGAGTAGCAAGAAACACACAGATCCTGGTGAAGAAGGTGCTGAACAACTGCAATTCTCTTTCTGTAGGAGGCAATTTAGCAAAGGGAAAGTAAAGTTTCTTCAGTGTGGGAGAAAACAACTCCCTGGCTCCCCAGTAAACACCACTGCTTCCAGAGCTGATGTAAATTGAAAATAGTAACATCTGCACTTCTCATGTTAGATGTTATTCAGCTTTTTATCCAGAGCCTTTCACAACAGGAATCAGCCCAGATAACACATGGAAGCATGGGAAAAGCCTGAGTGGAGGCCCTGAATGCAAGGGACCCTGGATCTCTGCTCCAGCACTTGAGAGCAACCTCCAAACTGAACTAATTACCCACAAGTGCTCTCCAGGAACTGCAGGTTCCCAGCCAGTTGCCAAATTTCAGGTCTAGGTTGCTCCTGGTGTCAGGGCCATCTTTGTGACTGTGGCAGGGCACAGGCTAACCAAGGTAACCGTGTAAGTGTGCATCAGCAGTCCTTGGGGCTCCCTCTGCTCTTTCGTCTCCCACTTCTACCAGATGGGACACAGCTCACCTTTCACAAAATACCTGTAATGAGGTTGTACAACGTGGGTACGCGAGGGGCTCCCTGGGCTCACAATGGCAGAGATCAGAGGTCACTCGCTAATCCAGGACTTGCCTCCTGAATTCAGTTCAGTCCTGCACCAGATGTTGTATTTCTACAGAATGACTGGATGAGATTTCTGATCAGCTTCAGCAAAGCACTGGGTTGCTTTGAAAAGTGCTTCAGTGTGAACTAAAACCCTCCAAGGACAGGCCTGTGCTCACCCACAGGGGATGAGGCTGCTCTGACTCGCTACTGTACTCACATGGCTCGTTTGCAGGCATCTGGGTAAGGGTTCGGGGTGCATCATATGGTCAGGCGAGCTCCCTGAAGTCAGTGACCACCCTGTGAGTCTGGGAGCAGTGCCAATGTCATAGCTACTGTGCTCGGCCAGCCGGTCATGTTCTTCCAGTTCTGCACCTTCCTGGAACCACCAGGTGGGACACCACAGCACCCTAACGCATGACAAAGTCATTGCTGATAGATTTAATGCTGCAGCTGGAAATAGTATTGAGGAGCGTAAAACAGCCACGCTTGGTCAGATGGGAGATCCATCTGACCCAGCGTCCACCATCTTCTGGCCCAGAGGTGGCTGCTGTCATTAAATGTTTTTCTCTCATTAAAAGCTCTTCCCCAGGCTGAAAAGTCCTAGCCTGGCTAGCTGCTCAGAGTTGTCCAGAGCTTTGATCATCCCTGTTTTCCTTCCCTGGACCCTTTCCACTTCTGCAGAGGAGGGGACACAGCTTGCCCACCTGTCCACAGCTGCTGCTATTACACCATCTGCTCATTTGTCCTAGGCTCTGCAAGCCCATTTGCCCCCCTCCAGTCCTCAGGTAGTGAGGGAGAGGAGGTCTGGCTGTGTATTGCTCTCTGTGTCCCCAGACAGTCTGTGCAGACCTTCAGATGGTGTCTCCCCTGCACCGTAGGGCAGGGCTTTGGCAGGGTTATCACCCCCAAAACACTTCCATGGTGAACAACACAAATGCATTGCTCATCTCCCCCCTGGGATTCTCTGTTCCTGCTGCTGCCAACCCAGCCACAGGCAGGATGTATTCGGGCAGCTCTGTCCCAGCTCTCTGCCAGGGCTGAGGGGAAGGTTATGCCCAGCACAGCATGGTGCATAACTGGGACCCAGTCTCCCCCGGGGGGCACCAGCACCTCAGCCCCACACAGTGGCTCGCTCTGTGCGGGCAGCGTGGCTGCAGCCCGTCACTGTGCATCCCCTGAGAGCCATGTCTATTTATTTGCAGAGGCTAGGAAAAACCAACACAGACAATTTGGTGGCTCTTCTGAAGAGGGAAACCGCATGCCTCCAGCACAACATGGAGTGTTTCTTCAGAAACTGCAGAGCTAAAGCACACACTTGTGGTCCACATCTGCAAGGTCAAAGCGTGGGCAGCCCCAGGACCAGGTCAGTGTTGACTCTACATGCAGTGAATTCAGAGATACCCATCCTCCCTGGGGACTGGTGGATTTGCCTGTTTATTTCACACGGCTCAAGAGCAAGCAGCAGACCGAGGGGAGGTGAAGGGAGTGATTTAACACCACCACAGACCTCAGGGGTGGGTGCAGGATGGCTGGATCCAGCCTGGTGCAGAGAGCTTGACACTGAAGCCTGGCAGATCTGTGTCCAGCAAGCTCAGACGAGACTCAGGAGGCAGCTGGTGGACAGCAAGATGCCTGCAATGCACTGGTCTGTGGCAGGGGGTATGCACATGGATTAGCAATTTTGCATACAGTTTTGCTTGTTGAATTTATCCATCTGTTTCCCATCTTTTCATGCTTCAGTCAAGGTGTAGGGAGGAAGGGATTACCTGCTTTCACAGGCACTATAGTTCGTCACGCAGAGCTACAGGTAGTCCTGCTCCCAGAGAAGCATGTTGCAACCAGGCAAGTTGCCCCCAAACCTGCCTCAAGTCAGGGAGTGAAGGACAAGCCTGAAAATTGCTTCTCTGTCGTTGTCATGTAAAACAGAACTGGAAGAAGTGCCCTGACACCCTGCTAGAGTGACAGTGGTGTTGCTTCCCCAGCTGCCCATGTTGATCCCCCAGACAACCGTGGGTTTAGGGGTGCATCCCTGACTGCAGGGAGGGATAGGCAGGTCTCTGGATATTGCCTTGCAGTAGCAATGCCAGACAGGGGTAAACAGAGATACCACTGAGGCTCGTAAAGAGCTTTGACTTCTACATAGATCCAAAGCCTGGTGTTGCTGTGGCTGCAGTGACAGCAGTCCCAACAGTGCCAGGAGACGGGCATGGTGGCAGGATCCAGCCCTAGGTCCAGCTGTCCCTTGGACAAAGCGGTAGTGAAAAGCCATGTGGGGGACTGGCACGATGAGATGTACCCAAGGTTGGGGGTGTTCCCCTACTGAGCAGCTCCACTGACAATCAAGGAGTCTGTGACACTAGAGCTGCTCAGGTTGCTGGACACTTGGTTGAGCTCCTCCAGGTCCTCACCTAGGAAACTGGATGCATCAGTGAAGGTGGCCCAGGGCTAGCTGAATCAAAACGTGGAGAGAAAGGGGAGGGAAGCAGTGCCTGGCACACTGTAAAGTGTTCAGCTGCAACAGTTCATGCAACTGAGACTGGCCATAAAGTTTAACCTCCTTGCACAAATTCATCCATAGCAAAGGGGATGCAGCTTTGGCC